CCTTACTTTCGGGAATTGAAGATGATTTGCAAGGATTGTTGACTACCCGAACAACTAGCAAAGTCCCTGTAGTTGGCTGGTATATGAAGTAAATATTACGTGAAGTCACATGGATTACCGTCAGAGGTTTCGGTTGATCCACCACCATTTTCGACGCATAGCTCAACCTGAGACTGACGTAGGTGAGAGCTGCTGCTTCCGTTCTTTTTTCATCTATGTCATGAAAACAAACCCTGCTTGGCGTGTGAGATGTAATATTGGTCGAACCACCCAAACTGAAAAACTCATTGATGTGCAATTTTGACATCTGAGAAAATGATCATTCAACAAACACCAGAAATCAACCAAAATTGTTCAATTAAATATATTGAGATACTGTTACAGTTTTCCTACACCTGAAAAAAAATGCCATAGGTATAATTATGGTTTCATGTTTCGCATCATGAACATCGAAACATTAAGTTTGATTTGAAAAAAGTTGATTCCGCAAAAGTTTTGCTGCTGCAGCTTTTTGCATTGTGCTAACTTTGCAGTATGCATTGGGTTTTTATGTGTTCAGATTAGTCGCAGTAGTCAAATTAATTGAACCAATCTTTATTATTGTCGAATTAGTCTGAGTCAAAAAACGGTATAATAAGCACTTCAGGTCCTCGACTCATGAGTCGACCAAAGTATTCGAAAAATGTCCGGCCCAATTTTGGATTCACCCCGCCTTGGACGGTCAAACGAAAACTTAGGTTGAACCCAAGTCGAGCCATGAGTCAGACAAGGCCTAATCATGGGTCTAATCATGTGTCAAACATAGTCGAAAAATAAATGCATTATGTCGAACTTTGGGTTGAACAGAGTCAAATATCTTCAACAGTAACAAAATGATTTATCTGATAACTGGGCTAGAATTTTCCACTAAATCATGTACTTCTGCCAAAATGTTAATCCAATTTTGCAAAAAGTGGCTAAATCGGTTTTTGGAATGTTTTTTGGAATAGTGATTTGGGAGATCTCAAAAAAATCAATGTGGCAGACCTAAAAATAGATGTAAGTTTTCCCACGGTATAAAAAGTTATAGGAAAGTTACACGCAAATATCTATCTTTCTGTTATATATTTTTTGAAACTATATACGTTGAAATACAAAGATGATTTATCAAAAAGATCGTTGCAATGATTTGCTATTTCGGAGATTCTGCTTTTGTCAAGATCAAACCAAGTATAAAATTACCCAAAAAACTTGAAATTAACTTCAGTTTTTGGTTAAAACGTTTTATGTTATTGTCGACTCTTTTAAATGTTCGAGATCAAAGTTCTCCCACGGCAAAACATTTTTTAAAGAAAATTTAGACGCAAATATCTTTTTTTTATTACATACTTCTTGTTTCATACTTAGTTACTTATACTTTTTTGTTGAAAGCATAAAAAAGAATCTTTACAAAATTTAATAATTTTTTTTAGTACAAAGATGATGTCGTTACAATGATTTGCCATCTCGGTGATACTAGTCTTATGGTTTGATCAATCCCAGAAATTTTTGGGCAAAAATGTGTTTTTTGGTTTATGTTTTTATTTTTGGTTTCTTCATATTATGTGATTGCCAAACAAATAAAACTATTTATTAACCCTTACGGTCAAAAACGTCAATCATTTCATTCGAAAGTCAAAAATAGACACACTTTGGCGACTTGATTGAATAATGATTCGAGGACCTCAACCTGGAAAGCCTCATGAATAAACTCGATTGGTTCTTTGATGTATTCATTCTTGAGTTGAAATTTTTAAAGACTTTGAGTTAGAGCCGATGTGGTTAACTCATAGAGTAATTTCGGATAGGGTACACCGTCTACTCGTCACGCAATTTTATTTTCGGCCGGATAGATTCGTGCAACTTCTTAGTCTAATACCGAACCTAATCTTACTCTTATACTTTCTAGTTTCAGGGTGTTTAACTGGTCTCTGCTAGGCTCAATAGATCTAGAGTATACTGGCTTATTGCGGCAGCTGAAGTTCTCTTGGAGAGGCAACTAATTTCTAAGTTAAATTCAAATCTCTCTGGTGCTGAAATTACAAGTAATTTCAGCACTTACAAATAAGTGGGTAGTTAGTTAGATGGATTTTGATTGGTTAATATTAAATACTTTACAGTGGTAAAATATCCAATTTATCCAATCATAAAATGTAGTTTAGATCAGGTTCCACCCATCCGGGTTTTACAGAGTTTTTTAGAATTATCTTTCTGCAATTCAAAGGATGGATGATGAACATTGGTATTTGGCGAACATCATATTCTTGTCCGGTTCCTCTTGTTGAAGAAGTTCCAGGACGCTGGAGTTAAGGACATACAATCGGTGCGTCGTCTTGTGACATTGACTGTGATTCCCAATGAAATCAATCTGATTTCAAAATGATTTGCTATGACGGGTTTTTCTGTATTATGTAGAGAACTTGTTTTGTGTTCAACCTCGTTGGTTTTCTTGGGTACCGTTGGTTTTCTTTTCTTAGTCATGCTGTGATTTTATGATTTGTTAGAGTGTTTTATGATTTTCGTGTATTAGAGTTGTTGAGTGTGAAAACTTGAAACTTAAAATCATTATTTAAACAATTCTTCGTGTGCGAGCTGTGCGAGTTTGGATAGAATTCCTGTGCGATTGAATGAAAATATCAAAAGGTTAGTACTGCATTTTCATATTATCAATTTATTACATAGAATTTCAATTTTACTGCGTTTTTGGGGGAAATATTAAAGTTATAAGTTTTCATCGTATTTAATTTTACTGCTTCATGGGAAATTACTTTATAAATTTATTTACTACATTTGGTATGAATTTTATTATATTATTTTGTGCAAGATATTAATGAATTTTAGGAGAATTTTAACAAGTTTGTATTTTTATTTTCTTTTCTGTTTTTGCAGATGATCGTGGTATGAAGACTAGAAATGTAAATGAGACATGAATAAAGAATAGTTAGTACTAAGTTAAATTTATTGTGAAGAGTTTTTCAAATTATACTTACCTGTTAATCGTCTGGGAAAAAGCCGTGGGGGAAGATGTCGCGAATCATATCTGATGTTGTTAGTAATTTGGCTAGTATGCGTATGATGTTTTTAGTTTGGAGCAGTGGCCAAAGCAATTGAAGTGCTTTAATGGTTTTTAGTTCTTCGGTGCCTACTGCAAGATCGTAAGGTGTGTTTTGAATGAGGTTATATATTTTGTGATTATATTTAGTATTGTGAATGATTTCTCATATTGTAATTTCTATACGCTGGATAAATTCATGCGGGATAAGGAAGGGTCTGGATTCTTCGGCGTTAAAGGTCTTCGTGATGGGACAAAATATATACATTTGTGTTATTGGGTCATAATTGCGGAGGATGCCGTGGAGGTTAGTATCCTTGATGCAATAAGTGAAACTAAGGAAAAATGGTGATGTTTATTTCGAGTTAAGAAACTGAAAACGATGGTGTGGTTGTCTTGATGGAGTATGCAAATCAAATGATTTTGTTTGAAGCGATAGTATGTATATGTGTGAGTCTGTTTAGTGCGTAACATAATGTCGTGTGAACAGTGCAAAGCGCGTTCATGTGGTGCAAGGAAGTGAAAGGTTAGTGAAAATAACTGAAATTTGTCTTTGAAACTTTCGTAAGCTTGAATATCATTTAGTGCTTCAGAAATGATGTGATCATATTTTCTATCAAAAACATTAAGTGTTAATACATATGACGTTTTGATGAAAAAATTTTTCTGTTAGTTGTGGGTTAGCGAAGCGACCTTCATCTAAAAATTGGTCTTGATTAGTTCGGATGATATTATGGTCGTAATATTCTATTGTAAATTCGTTAGCTCGGGGTGCAATGAATGTTTTTAGTAATTTTTTATATCCTACATAAGTAAATTGTCTAGGTGTTAGTGTTGCGGTGAGTCTATATAACATATTTTTATTCTTTTCTATGTCGTCATGAGTACTAGATAGTGGCAGGCAAAGGGTTTAGTAAAATGATAATATGCTGTCCAATGAAGTGTGGGCATTAAAACATGTTCATCTACAAAACTACGTGTGTCATTAGTGTCGTTAGGTGTATTTAATGTATATTGTGGAAATGAGGGTAAGGTGATTGCTAGAAAATCTTTCTTGTCGGTGAGTTGTGGGTGATAAATATATTCGCAGGCTGTTCCTGGTTTGGTCGGGAATGGATGGTTCGAGAATTTTCTTCTAAAAGTGCGATAAGCTCGGTTAGTGCTATTAGATGTTTCGGTGGATGTGGATGATTGTGCTAATGATGCAGTGTAAGCTGAGGAGGGTGTAGGAGTAGTTG